AGGAATACCCGGGAAGTCCAACCGCTACCGCCACAGACCATGAAGGATCAGCCTCTCCCTCCTACCTACCGGGAGATGCTCCCTGTGATCCCAGGAACGCACCGCTCAGCCTGACAAGAAGCATCTAGTAACAACAGTTAAGCCCCTCCATTCCCCTCTTTTAAAAAAAACGCCTCCGTAAGTCATCACATCTTATATCAGAAAAAATCTTTTTGTAGCTTCAATAAGTATATTTTAACAGAAATTAAATTCTATCTTCAGCAGCAATAACCCACTCACCATATATTCGATGTAATCTGAGGTAAAATTATATCAACTGGTGCTTTACAGCCAACTAGGGCAGGATACACACGATCTGTCGAGCAAGGCAGCAATTCTTTGGACATTTCAGTGATCTTGAAAAATACAGAAAAATTATTAAATTAACTATCACACAGCCAAATACAGAAAAAAATAGAACATATACATGAACCAAAGCACTTCTTACTAAACACTTCTTTGAGCTCTTAAATTTAGGGTTACGAGATCCTGGGGACAGAAATCCTTTGGTTGGAGTGGTAATACGCTGGGTAGAAAAAGAGGAAAAAAAAAATCTCTCAGGATCGTAGGAATTCAGTTGATTGTAAGATTCTAGCTACCCTCATCTCAAAATATTTTTCTTTTCATAGATATCTCACTCAAAAGAAAGAGCCTGTAACAGTATTTCTTAAACTTATTCTCTATCACTATGGACACGCAGCGGGGTACACACTGTTTTATACCCATCATAAATGGGAACCCGAGGAGCTGCGACACGCAGAACACACTGAGAGTTTACCTTAGCCTGGATGTTAGATAAAATTTTAAGACTTCGTGAAGACGGGGAACCATTTGAAGAATGGGATCTAACGACGGGACTTCTCCGATCTATGTCATCTGCCAGACCTTCTTGATAAATTGGATTTGCAAAAGAAACTCGACGAATCTGTTTTTAGAGAGAAGTGATTTTTAAGGTTAAGTTACAGCACGAACTCAAACCATCGCCCTCAGGTGAAATGAATCCAAAAACTCAGCTTAAAGTTGATGCAAAGTCCTCGATTGGCACTGAACACACTGCACCCCAGGGCAGCTCGGACTCGGTTAGCGCTGAAGGAAACCGCGGCGCGTTCGCAAGAGCCCCAAAGGCAGCGGCAGGACCCAGCACCCGTGCCCGTCCCTCCTCCCTCCCTCTCTAGCAGTACCAGCCTGCCAGGCCTTGTGCATCGTGCAGGGCTCCACCTTTAGCGTGAGATCAATTAAAATGGAAGATGAAAGGGTCAGTAATTCAGCACACACGTTACGTTCCAGATCACACATGCCAGTTACTACTCAAAGACACTCCAATACCTTATTAGCAGGTGACAAGGAGTCGTCATCTTGGTTTCTTTTTACACCTCTCTTTAAAATACTGGTGGATGGAGAAGCTGAAGGCGACCACACACAGCGTGCCTGCACACTGGTAGGGCTTTCATTAATTAGAACTAAAGCATCAAGATCTCTTGGCTTTTCAGGTGAGTCCACACTGTTGCTTCCTTCTGCACCTTCTTTATCTAAGGCTTCATTTTCAGGCACTTCAATTTCAGTTTCTATCAATTCCTCTTTCATCTCCCTATCCTGAAAACTGTAAGGCTCTCCCAGGAGAATTTCATCCTTATGATCCCGATCAGCTTCCTGCTCGTTGGTGTCTGTCTCCTCAGCTTGGCCGGCAGCAGCCAGCGCCGCAGGCGCCTCCTCCAGTTGTGCATTTGGCCCTTGCTCTTCCTCCTCTGCAGCCCCCGCGCTGTGCGTGGGCTCGGCCGGGGGACACGGCTCCGTTGGGTCACTCTGATCAACGGGCTCTTCTGCTCCCGCCACCGAGTCGCTGCTCCCACCTGCCGCGTGCGCTGCGTCCTTCTCCAGATCCTCCTCCACCACGGCACGATTCCCCTGCAGGCTCTCCCTGGATTCGGGCTCTCCTTGCGAGCCAAGTGCGCCAGGCTCCTTAGTGGGAAGCAGGGGGGTGCTCATGGCACACGGCGCCATGGACAAGCTCTCCTCCAGGTTAGAAGCCTCAGACACCTCCGACGTGTTTACGGCTGCCCGAGTAGGGGTTGTTTGGGGCTCGCTCAGCTTGTGATCAGTCTCACTTTTTATTTCAGTTAATGACTTCAGTTGCCGTTTTACCTTTACACAGCAATCACAGCTCTTTGCTCTTCTCGTCCTCTTGCTTCTCTTGTGCTGACACTCAAGTACTGGCGAAGAGGAGAAACCACTTCCTGAAGCATTTGCTCCCGCTACAAGTTCGCTCGGAACACTTGAGCTTGCGTCTTCTGTGTTTTTTCGCTTTTCCCCACATTTATTTTCCTCCTCTGCTTTCAAGGTTTGCTCAGCCAGGCCCGGGTTGCTGCCAGCCTCGGCGAGCACCTCGGTTTTGTCCTGTTCCCCCGCTGCGCTCTGTGCGCCAGGGGAGCCCTCCGAGCTGGCGGCTCCCGGGGGAGTTGCCTGATTTTTGGGCTGGTCGGGCTCACACGGGGGCACAGCCTCTGCGCTGGCTTCGCAGCTCCGCTCACTCGCCTTCACTTCCAGCACATCCTTAGTTTCAGTTTCTTGAGAAGACACCTCATGGCTGTGCCCTTCTGGCACCTGTTCTTTCAATCTAACTTCAGGAGAGTCATTTTTCACTCTTCCCGATCTCTTCTTCCTGGTGTTTTCTTCCCTGGCCTCCGAGCCTTCAGACTCGGAGTTTTCTATGCTGGAGAGCAGCCCCTGTGACGCTCTCCTGGTGTGGTACCGTGGCCGCTCCTTCACCTTCTGACCCGCTGCATCCGAACTGGAGTCCTGACTCTCCGCGTCAGCCTTCGCACCCTCTTCTGGCCTCCTGGCACTTCTGTTCTCTTCCTCATCAGGGGCCCTTGGAGCACGAGACTCCCTGGAGCCAGAGTCTTCTGCAGCAGCTCTCTCAGGTGGGTGGTTTTCTGTTTTATTTCCAGTTTCCGCTGCTTTCTGCTTTTGGGACGCATCCTCTTTAACCTGTGGCACCTTCCTTTGCGCAGACTTCTCGTCGTCTTTACGCTTGTCTTTCTTTTGGTGGCTGTTTTCCTTATCTTGACTCCCTGTTGCACTTTCTGCGGGTTCTGACCGTCGTCTTGAAGACCGTCTGAGCGCCTTCGGGCTAGGAGACACATGTGGAACCTGATTATCAGCACTTGTGAGCTGGTCAGATGGTGCAGTGGGCTCCGGGGGTTTATTTTCTTTAGAGTCTGCATCCAGTGCCCTGATCTTTTCCACTTCTGCTAGGCTGTCTTCAGTTTTTCTAATTTCTGCATCAGTAGAACGGAGAGCTTGAGACTGATTGAGCAGAACACGCTCTGTTTCTTCCACGGGATTATTTTCCGTACTGCTGGGAACAAGAGACTCTTGTGTGCTCTTCTCTTTGTCTGCTTTAGTTGAAACCTTGGGCTGCTTATTTCCTTGTTGCTCAATTTTGCTCTGCCTGCGAGTCAGCCTTCGTATTGCAGTAACTATTTCTTCAGATTCAGGTTTTGAAGCATTCTTACTCTTTTCACCACGCTTTTCTACTTTAGCATCAACCTTGGATTTTTTTGTATTTTCTTGTTTCTCTGACGCAGAAGCATTTCCAGGAGCTTCCAGCAAGCTGTGCAAGGCCGAGACGCTGAAGGGTCTGTGCTCTGAACTATCAAACTTCTCCAGCGTGATGAACGACTGCCGCCGGCTCGCGGGCTGCGGCGTCCCGGAGATCACGTCGCTCGACGTCGAACTGCTGCTGATGTTGGAGGTGTTTCCTCCTCCCGACACCAAGGCCTCATTTGAGGCTGCTTCTATGGCGCTTTTTTCCAGTTCCTCTCCAGACGACGGCTCCATCAGAACCGTGTCAGCTGTGTCCTTGAGCTCCCCCTCACTTTTGGAAGCAGAGCTCTCCTCTGCGTGGGGAAGGGAGCTGTTTTCCACACAGGCAGCACTGCCAGGGGTGTTATCGGCCTCACAGTCCTCCACGATCTCATCTGTGTCAGCCCTGCAGCCCTCGCTCTTTGCATTTTCTTCCTGTCCAAAAGGAAGGACAGCAGAGAACTGTAATTGTGATAAAAAAGAAGAATCGCAAAATACTTCAATAAAACATGTACAAGAGGTTTCAACAAACTTACAACTGAAATACTTTTTAATTAAAAAGTTGCCATATTTTACTCCACTTTTTTGGCACTCGAGTACAGACAGTGCTTCTTTGGCTGATGTCGCCCATATCAATACTATTTAGATATGGAAAAAAGAAGGGAGGTGCAAGAGAAAGGAGATGAACTCAAAACTTCAGGATAACACTGCTTAGTGCTGAACCTGCAAAGAGCATCTCACAGGTTCCTCCACAGGAAGGAAAAAACCTTCCTGTGAGTTGCTCTATTTGTGTGCTACATTTTTTGCTGGAAGAGCTACCAATCCAATTTAAAAAAGCACAGACTTATCCCAGCCAGTTAAGGGTTTTCCTACCCATTATCAGAAGTGCTAATATGAGGAAAATATCACTCGTGGTTATGCTTCTGATGTTGTAACACTTGACAGTAAGAAATTACCTGAGGTTTCTTTTCCGTATCTTCTTTTGTGTTGTCTCTTAAAGAAGGCTTTTCTCTAAAATAAAAGTTAATTAAATTAGAAGTCCTGGGAGAAAAAAAAAAAAAAGAGAAAGAAAAAAAAAGGGGAAGGGAGGGACACTTTCATGCATACATTGGCCACCTTTACTTACAAAGACTCTTCCTGACTCTGAGTATACTGAGAAAATAAAGTAGTATCTTGTGAAGCGTCCAAATTGTTGTACATTGCAGGAATATCAGATCTGAAGAGAGGGGGAAAAAAAATAGAAAACCCTTTTACTTCAGTTATTTTAAAAAAGAAAAGTGACAGCTTCCATTTTATTTTCCAAACAAGAGTCATGGAATAAAAGTGCAAAGCCTACAGTATCAAATTAAGGGCAGATCACACATACATCATACCTAAGTGATCAAAATAAGGCAGGCAGATGAGACACCAATTTGGTTACTTGTAGTGTAGTGAAATAGGGAACTTTGTTAGCATTAAGTTTTTAAGAGTGAAACACAGTTTTTTACAGTAGTTTGAGATACAGGAATTAAAGTTATGTCCATTTGATATACTCATGATACAAGGGCATTCCATAGTAAGTTTAACAGAATAGATTACAGACCTCTTTGACCTAAGCACTTCTTTCTGATGTTCTGTCAATATTCTTGCTTTAGTTTCTGGAGGAATAAATACAAAATCAGCAGATTTCTCCTCTTCCAAAACTATCTCGCTTCTAACCTTCATAGGTGAAAATTCTAGTTTCAGCTGTGGAAAGCAAAAAGGCTGGATTAGAAATGAGACAGATTCAGGTGCAGGTAACGTCGCTTCCCCAGTTCAGGGGCATCCATCCTAAAGAGCTCTGAAATAAACGACTGAGAATCTTGCAGCTTTAGCCAGCAGAAATCCCCCTCTAGGCCCTGGTTTACCCTACGCCTGTTTCTTGCCCCCACCACCTGAGGGAGAGGTTCTGCAACCCTTCCTCTCTGCCCTCATGTGAAGGGATAAGCTTCTGCACTTCCTTCAGTTTCTTGAAATGCAAAGCCTTTAACAGGTGAGGTCACCTTGGTACTCAGGATGACTAGTATTTAGTGTCACCATCTTTACCTGTCTCCATCCCACTCAAAGGACAGAAAGTGCTAATATCCCCCAATAGATCTCTCAGGTTTCCTGTTCCTGGGCAGGTTTATCTGTTCCAAAGGCTCTGAGGTCCAGATTTAGGAGGGAACGCAGCAGCTGTGGCTGTTTGAGGACCACGATCCCTGCTGCTTCCTGCACCTGCCAGCAGACGTGTGGCTGAGCATGGGCAGGCAGCAGATCAGCCCCAGCACAGGGCTGCAGC